GAAAATCCTCAGCCTTCGAGTTTGGCAAGTACAGATTTCTAACCCAGCAGAGAATCTGAGGCCTTGTGTCATTCCAATTCCACCTGAGCAGTAATATAAACCCAGAGAGCTGTTTTTACATTTTTAGGATGTTTCCTCTTGTTTCTTTTTCTGCTCCCCATTAAATGTCCCAAACCCTTGGATAATTATGGAGATAAATAGGTTGCTAAGGAAGATGGTGGAAAAGACTCAGCTTTAGCATCAGACAGACCTGGCTTCAAATCTTGCCTGTTGTTTGCTGAATGTATAAATCTGGCACATTAACTTAACCTGCATGCGCCTTGATTAAAAACAACTTAATTGAATTGTTTTGAGGATTGAAAGATAAAAGTGTTTGATACAGAGTAGGCACCCAGAACGGGTTTCTCTTGCTTGTCCTGAGCTGGAGAATGTAAAAAGAACTCCAGCTTCTCTAGGAACATTTTCTCAGCATCAATAGCCCTTTTACCTTCCAGCTTCCTACCTCCCCAGACTCTGATCTGGGGAGGGTAGAGGGTCATGTCTCATCTGCACATCAGACACGCAGACGCAGGCAGCAGAGAGGCACAAGGAAAGTGTCTTCCTACACACAGAAGGAGAAAAGTCTTTCCTTTTCTAGCTCAGAAAGTCACCTGGGGAGCAAGCACACACTAACCCCCCCCCCCCCCCCCCCCACACACACACACACAGATGGGAGCTGTCCCGGGTCCTGGAGCACAGCTCCTCAGCGGGCTCCAGGACAGGGCCTTGTAGGAGTTTGGGGCCCACTCTGCACTGTCTCAGTTCAGGGTGAAGGTGAAGAAGACCTCCCCTGCGGACCCCACCTGGCGGGCTATAGCGTCAAGGGCAGGGAAAAGGTAGGGTTATGCCTCAGTGTCATTTCTTTTTCCTTTGACTTTGATTTCCTTTGGTATTGATCTCTATTTCTTCTGGGTTGGAAGTTACATAACTTCTCTGGGACTCATTTTCCTCATCTGTAACCTAGGGATGATACACACTTATGAGAATCAAATGAGATAATGACTGAACAAATGCTTCAAAAACTGTAGAGTGCAAGGCAAATATAAAGCATTCTTGTTCTTCTACTCATTTTCATTTTCATTATTGCATCAGGTGAAAGACCTGGTCAGTCTGCTGCCACTGCTGATAATTCCCTCTCCCACACCCTCACAAGCTCACACATAAACACTCACATATCCCTGCCCTGTGGAAAGTGAGGAAGTGCCAACAGTACAGGTTCCTCTGCCAGTGAGCAAGTGCTCACATGCCCCCAAGGCAGCCTGTGGATGCCAGAGTTGATACTGATGGAGTTCCGAGCTGTGCAGCCTGTGGTTGCTGTGTTCCTCCACCTTATGCTCTGGTTCTGCCTCTCAAAGTTGCAGTAACTCACGCATTTCCAGGCTTGAGTGAGCCTGTGCCTGGTGGGAAAGAGGGAAATTGGGCAGGACTAGTGCTGAAAACTCTCTTCATCTTCTTTCCCTGGCATGAATTGGTGTGTTGCTAAAGAAATTGCCTTTGCAATTCAGTTTTGCAATCTCCCATGGAGAGAAGTGGGCAGCTGTGGTAATGTACTTCCAAAGCCCCCCAAAGATGCTCCTTATGGGGAGCATCTCTTCCAACATGTGGTGTATTGATACAGTGAGTGAAGCTGATCTCCCCACACTTGGTGCTGATTTACCTTCTCTAGGGAACACTGTGAGCAAATTAACCTCTTGTAGAAAGAGCTAAGAGTTTGTGCATGAAAGAGCTTATGAAGGGAAGTCCCCAGGTGGAAAGAGATTAGCAACCAAAGCTGACTCCAAGAAAAACAGAGCCCACCATGTTGGATTCTGTTTGGGGAAGGTCATAGAAGTGGGAGCAGAACAGGACATGAAGGCATCTCCTGCGAGGTTTTCACCCAGCGCCTGCTCTGTCCCTTCTCTATGGACCTTCTCTAGTCCAGCTAGGACACCTTCAGCCTCCTCCAGGAAGGATTCCAGGGATGCTGTGCCCCACTGAGCTCTTCTGGACTAAGCCTGGACCTTTCCCTTTTCCATTAAGATAATCAAGATTAGATGGAAGCCTTTTTTTGGCTTAAGAAAATTTCCTAGGAGCTAAAGGGAGAAAAAAATTGAAATGGACAGTGTAAAAGCCTATAATCTGAGGGATTTATGGCACCCAGCAGCATTGCCCAGGGTAAGCAGAGTTCACTCTCCTCTGGATGCCCTCTCGTAGGTAGCATCAGCTTCCCAGAAGCAGGAGGCCACAACATTATCCTTGACACCCTGTCCCTTTCCCCACGACCAATCTCTCCTCTCTGTTCTCCCCCAGAAGTGTCTCAAAGCCATCCTCTGTTACCCAGCCCACTGACTCTGCCTTGTTCAAGTTCTACCATCCCTTTCCTGGACTCTGCTGTAGCTTCCTCACCAGTCCTCCAGCCTCGTTTCTTCACTCCAGCCTTTCCACCCAGAACTTCCTCCTCTCCTGGCCTTTCTGGTGAATGTCTCATCCTTTAAAAAAAACTCAGCTCAAATGGCACCTCCTCAGAAAGCCTCCTTGGACTTCCCCAGGTGGAGCTAATTGTTTTCTTCTCTCTGTGCTTTTCACTTATGCTCTGAGAGTATTTATCTCAGTGGGTTGGAATTGCTAGTTAACATGTCTATTTACCCCACCACCTTTCATGGCAGCTCTTCAAGGATGCAGACTATGGCGTATACTTTGTATTCTCAGGGTCTAGCAAGGGGGCTGACCTTCATTACACAGCAGGAAATACTTGGTGGAGAAAGGAAGGGAGGGGAAAAGAGAGGAAATGGAAAATGGAATGGAAACTATACGTAGGTGTAGATTATGCAGTCCCTTAGCCACCTCCCCTATCTCGTGAGGGATAAAAGGTAATTTCCCTAAAAGAAACTCTTCCTGCTACATTAGCCTACCATTCTCTGTCACAAATTTCACATGGTGCTGATTGCCCCTACATTTTCTTCAAAGCTGCTGAGGATGCTTAGAATCCGAAGGAAGCAAAGGCCCAGGGAGATAAGGTGACTGCCTAAGGTCACACAGCCAATTAATCACAAAGACCAGACTAGAACCCAGGTCTCTTGGCGCCCAGGCCAGGGCCCTTGACACAACACCAATGGCCTCTCTTCAAGTTTTCCCTCCAGGCAACAGCATATAATTATCAACATTAGTATTTGGAATTTATATGCGGCTTTTGCTTCAATGGCATTTTTTATTATCCTTTCGATTGGTAATTCGGTATGCAGCCCAGGCGTGGAGCAAAGCCAGGGTAAGGAGGGGAGAAGCAGAGAGAAGCCAAGGCCAAGAAGGGGGCCACAAGCCCCTGTGAGAGGGAGGCCAGAGCAGAGCAAAAGTGTATGAGGCACTGTCTCATGTGTGTATTGTGTGGGGGGTGTCTGGGCAGTTGCTGTATGGGCCTCAGATGAGCAGTCCAAGAGGCTTCCTAGCCTTAGGGTTTACATTCTAATGGAGCAGGGGCAAGAAGAGCAAGAACATATTTAACACCCAACAGGTTAAACACCACTACCAGCCCTGAGACAGACCACAAGGCTTAGCGAGTTCTCTGCCCAGCCCTGAAGATGAGGAGACACAAGCTCCATGATGGGAGCTTCCTACTGATACCAGGAGCTAAACAGAATTGCTCCAGATGCCCCTTGTCACACGAGAGTGAGGGGGTCCCAGAGCCACCATCCAGTGTGCTCTGGCATCCTTGGATGGAGCAAGGGAGGACTGCCACTGCCAGAGCCTGGTTCCCAGTGCCTCCTTCCATCCCTAGCCTCAGCTTCAGCCTACTCCAGGGTTTACTTTGCAGACCCCTATTTACCTTCAGAAAACAGAATACTCTCCCCCAATCTCCTGGTGTTGTGGCAACACTCAAGACCTTGTGGGAGGCTTGAAAAAATAGTCCTATCCACTTATAACACTCAAGATGAGGATACTCCACACCAAAAAAGGAAACTGAGTGAAGGGGGGCCATCACGAGCAGGACGGTGGGGAGACAAGGCAGCTGAAGCCCTGGTCTCAGGTCCGAGGTTTCTCTCTGGGAGAACTGAGGAGAACGTTCACATGCTAAGGGCCTATTTGGGACCAGTGTGTCACGCAGGTCATCTCGCTTTGTCCTCATATGACTCCTATGAAGTAGATACAGCTCCCCCATTTTGCTGAGGAAAAACCTGAGGCTTTGAGAGGTTAACTTGCTCAAGGTTAGACAGGTAATAAATGGGACACCAGAACCAAAACTTAGGCCCATGGTCTTTAAAGCCTGTGCATTGCCCAGCACAGCACTGTTATCTCCAAATCAAGAGATTTAATCTCTGTGAGCCCAGCGTCTTCACGTGTAAAATGGAATATATATATATATATATGCCTCATAGCGTTGTTTAGAAAATTAAATGAGATTGTATTGGTTAAAAACAAAAACCTGGCTTCATGTCCAGTATATAGTAGGAGCTCAATAAATGCTGTTTGTTAGCTTGTTTTTCTTTTTAGAACAAATCAATGTTAAAACTCAAAGCTTGGGAGCCTAGGGGCTCCAAAATGCTTCCAGAAGCCTGAGGGTCGCCCATCGCTTCTGGGGGAGCGCAGGAGTAGAGGAGGGGAGAAGGGCTGAGAGAGGGGACTCGGCTCCAGGAACCAGAGCAGCCGGTTCCAGCTGCGCGCCCCTCGCTCCACCGCCTCCTCTGGACTCCTCCGACTTCCCGCCCCGCCCCGCCCCGCCCCGCCCGGGAGCTGGGTCCGGAGTGCCTGGTGGGCTGATTCTGGAGCGTGGAAGGGAACACGGAGCACGGAGGCGAGAGGGAGGCGGCGGCGGCGGGAGGCGGGGAGGAGGGGGACCCTCCTCGCTGCCCTCCCAAGTCGGCGCGGAGCCGCCTCGGGCCGGGCTGAGGGCTGTGCGGCGGCGGCGGCGGGCCCGGCCAAGATGCGGGGCTCCGGGGACCGCGCCGGGCAGGGCGGGCGGCGGCGGGCGGCGGGCGGGAGCTGTCCGCGGTGCTGAAGCAGCGGCGGCGGCAGGGACCCGGGGCGGGGAGCAGAGGCGCCCTCCTGGGAGCTCCACGGCGGCCGCAAGGTGCTGGTGCCACCAACGCTCACCGGCCCATGCCAGCCCCCCAAACCCCGCGGAGGAGGCGGGACCGTCCTCGGCGGGACAGGTAAGGGTCCGTCTGGGGGCGTAGCGGGAGTGCATAGCTGGGCGCCGAGCCGGAACTGAGCTGGGGAGGGCAGTGGGACCTCTCTCAAGGATGGGGGGCTCTGACTCCCTGCTGGCCTCACCTTGTGCTCTGCCAGAGATGGTGCCAAGTCCATCCCTACCCCTCGCCCTATAGGCTGCGGATGTTGGGAAGGGCCTGAGGGACTGGGGCCCAGACAGGCTCCTGGGCACTCTGACCCTACACCACCAGGCCTTGACCCCGACCTCAGGAAGCTTTAAGACACCCTGCCCACAAGGAACGCCAAGTGATGAGAGTCTCCTGGACTCTGGCACCCTAGTCCCCACCAGGGCTCTGCCACACTAGGGAAATCTGAGCCAGCTAATCTCCCCTCTCCTCCCCTAAGCCTGCTCATCTGTGGACTGTGGCCCAGCCCTCTGAAGATTTATTTGCCCTGGAAATGGCCCTTGGGCCAAGGGATGAGCCAGGCCCCTTAGGAATATTAACCTATTTCTCCGGGGAAGGAAGGAGATACCAGGAGGTACCAGAAGGTACTTCCATTTTTCCCTGTGGCCCTCTTGACTCTCATGGAAGAAGGCTGGTTTTGCATCACACTACTTGGTGCATGAGGGCAAAGGGTGGGGGAAGATGAGTCCTGTTTTCTATTACATGCCTGAATGCTGGTGACCCTAGACAGAGCCTCCGTTTTGAGTTCTCCCTCTTTTTGGCAAGAGTGCGGTGGATGAGCTCATTCAGGCCTGCAAAGTGCTTCCAGTTCCTTGGAGCAGAGTTCTCTGAGTGGCAGAATGTAGCAATCAAAATAAAACTGCGTAGAGGAAGACTGGCCTCTCGCTGGGGCTGACCACTGCTTTATCCCCATTCTCTCAACCCAGTACAACTTCCCTACCCCCAGTGGTAGAAAAAGCACTAGACTAGGAATTCCTGGCTGGGCACTGGCATTTACTGGCTTTAGCACAGTTACCTGAGCTCTCTGAACCTCAGTTTCCTCATCCCTAAAGTGGGGATAAGGTAGCTGCTCTGCTCACCTCAGGGAATTGCCTTGGGACTCAAGGAAACAACATACCTGATTGAAGGCTTGTCAACTGTACATCGCCATACCAGCGTGAGCTGCTGTCACTGTTCCCATCCACCAGCCAGGCCTGCCAGCAGTGACCTGATCATTGTCACCCCTGCCCCTTTTCCTACAAGCCTGGCCATGGCTCGCTTTGTCCTGGCCTCCCTGTGGTTCCAGAGTCAGTGAAGCTCAACTTGTAAATCTTGGGGGACCAAAAGTGTTCCCTTCCCCCTTCTCCTCTTCCATCATCACCTGTGGAAAACAATATAGGGTGAGAGTCTGGCTCAGTCCCTTCCCCCCAAGGATCACAGATCCAGGGAAACAGCTCCTTGAAGGCAAGGATTGTGTTGTTTTCATCTCTTTGCCTCCCTCCACACCTCCCTTCCCCCATAGCACCTGGAAGATAGTAAGGACTCTGTAATTGGGTGTAAAATAAGAGAATGAAGCGTTAAAATATCTCAGAGTAAAAGCATTTGACTGCAAGTCAAAAGCCCTGTATTCTGGTCCCAGATCTGCCACTGAGTGTCAGGCAGGTCCCTTCCCCTCTGTAAGCTTCAGTTTTCTCACCCATAAAACAAGCGAGTTGGACTAGGTAAGTTTTAGCATCGCAAGCCCTGATGTTCTGTGGGGCTCTCTGAGGGCTGTCCTGAGCTCGCAAATCCCTCAGTTCTCCTTGAGCACAGGATACCAGCTTCATTAACCTGGTTAGAAGAGTAAGTTAATGTCCTTTCAGTAAAGAACTGGATTTTATGAATGGAGTAGAAGGGAGCAAGATAAACCAGAAAAAGCCATTTATGTTTCTAGTGTTTTCTTAAGATCCCCCTCTTGTCCTTATTTCCCTGGGAAAGCCATGAGTGTGTACAGAGTTGCTGAGCCAGGAGGGCCCCTGCCTCCAAGACAAGAGACCAGGAAAGGACACGCCCCTAAGATCCCTTGTGAGTAGCCAAGGGCCAGGGACCCGATCCTTGACCATCTCCTCCCAAGGACCCTGCCTGGGTGGGACCCCCCTCCTAAGAAGACTGGAAGAGGGGACAGTCAGGAAAGATCCATCCCTGGGGGAAGCTTTTTCTATAAAAACAAAACAAGCTCCAACAATAATTTTCCTCAACTGTGGCAGGCCAAGCCAATGTTCAGAAAAGCCTTAGCTAACCGGTACTTGGGTAGAGCTGAGTAAGCCATGCAAGCGACCTCCCCGTTCCTCCCTGCCAGCACCCAGTCAGGGTTGGGGATCAACCCCCCCCACCCCATGTCAGCACTTTCTAGCTCTCAACCGTTGGTGCAGCACTGGCGAGAATCAGCTCTCCAGAGTTAATGGACAGTCACTAACCCTCATAACAAAGTGATGGCAGAGGCAGCGGCAGCTAGCATAGAGAGGGGCTTTATTTTCTGCCAGACTGGTCTGTGGGGGTGCTGGCCTCCTGCTGGGCCTAGAACAATGCACCACTCCTTCTGCAGCTGTCTGGGTGAAAACCCCACCCTCAGAGCTGTCAGGGTGCAGGACATCTCTGGTCACCCAGGCAAACACATCTGGCTCCTCTCCCAACCAGGGAAAACTACCCACTGGCTACTTCTTGTGTCCCCCTCCTGCCCACTTCCTGCTGAGGCTCCTACTCTGACCCTTTCTGCAAGGCCTTAAAGGGAAGACGGGAATCAACCCTGGCACATGACTGGCTGATGCCGGTTATCTGGGGCTGGGGCAGGGAAGATCTGACGAAGAGGAAGAGATAAATGTGGCATGGTCATTAAGAAATGACATGTGTCTGTGTGTGTTTGTGTGTGTGTAAGAGAGAGATCAAAACATTGAAATTTTTCAGCACATGTGTGTCCCTTTCCCTGGGTGGCACACACAAAATGACAGGGGCAGAGAATAAGACAATATCTGGAGACATCTGCAAATTATTAATTACCTTCAAGTTCAAAGGCCAATTCATCTGTGCATCCTAGAGGGACTTCCAGCCCCAAAGGACACCACTCCAGGGAGAAAGAAGCAAAAGGAACAGCCTTCACTTTGGGAAGGGGAAACATCCCAGTTCTCTAAACCTTTGGCATTTTCCAACCCCTCCCCTTCTCAGGGGCTTGGTGGGCATCCTGCCTGGAGCAGGGTCCCCTCTACTGCAAGTCAGGGGACAATAAAGACTGATCTCATCCCTGTTCTTTGTATCCAGGTCCTCTCCTCTCTCGCTTCCTCCCTTGTTCTCTCTTCTCCCTCCTCCCTGCAGCTGCCACCACCGCCAGCCTCCCAAGCAAACCAAGCAGGAAGTGAGGGCCTGACGCTCTACCTCGTCGTTCGTTCGGTGTGTTATCTTCCAACGTTAGATGCGCAGTTCGCTTCTAAGTGGGAATGAGCTGCTTCAGTGGAGAGACAGGTTGTTTCAGCCAGAACAGAGATTTGATTTCCACTTGAAAATTGACTAATTTGAGTAGTGGTGCCACCATCCCAATCCTCCCAGCAATTTTCACCTTTGTCAGCCACAAGCCCATCTCCCAGGCAGGTGGATTATGCTCTGAGGGAGAAGACAGTCCAGCCTGTGGGAGCCCAGGGTGACAGTGGGTAGAAAAGAGGGTAGACCGATTTTCCCAGGAAGACAGCAAGTAAGAAGCCTCCCCGGGAGCTGAGAAGTGTTCCAGCTGTTTATCTCTCTTTCCTGGGTTCCCTCCTCAGCCCTCTCCTCTCCTCTCCTCTCCTCTCCTCTGATCCTCTCTTCCCCTTCCTCTCCATAGGTCCTTTGATAATTCTCAAGTCTCTCTTTAGCCCTTACCCCTACCCAGGGCTTCAACTCCATACACCAAATTGCCAGGCAGAGTTTCTACCCTAGTATCCCAAAGACACTTTAAGATCAAACCTATCCACTTCTCCTTCCCATCCTGCTCTTCCTTGTGTGTGTCTCTGTGTGTTATGTGTGTGTGTGTGTCTCATTTTTTCCAGCTTGGTGGGACTTTTCAATCTAAATTTTTTTTTTTTCAGCTCAGGAAACACTTTCTGCTTCTGCTCCTTTAATTATTATTCTCTTCCAGTCTCTCTGTTGTGTCTTTCTGAAACTCCTACTAGATAGATGTGGGACCTCCGGGACTCTCCTCCATGTCTCTTAACTTTCTTTCATATGCTCCATCTTTTTTCTTTTTGCTCTATGTCTTGAGGAATTTCATTAACTTTTTCTTTTACATTAAGAAGTTAGTCTTTAACTTTCCATTCTATTATCCAGTCCTTCCACTGAATTTTTGAAAATTTAGACAATTATTTTCAATTTCCAAAACTCTTCCCTGTTCTTTGATTGCTCCCTTTTCATAGCAGCCTGTTCTTGTTTTATGGATGCAATGGTCCTCTTATATCTCTCTGAGGATATGAATTCAAAAAAATTTTAAAGATCTTTTCTATAACTTGAATGATTTTCAAATCTTATTGGGTCAATTGTTCTATTTGCTTATGTAATCCTTCTCTTCTATTTTCATGTAGTAGTTTTTCATTATCCTTCTTGTCCACTCAGACTTATGAGTACAGGAAGGTGTAGGCTAGCACAGGCAGCTGATGTGAATTTCCTCTGAAGTTGGGTAGGTTTGTTTCCCTAACAGGCCTCTCACGTGAATGGGAATTATTCTTTCCTCTGGTGTGTGGGGCTGCAGGTTTCTCTGCATGGATTTCTTCACCAGGAATCTCATCTCCTCTTTATCTTCCAGAAATTCTGCAATGTTTCTGGCCCATTGATATCATTCCTTTTTGTTTTCCCATTTTGTTATGATTTCATTCTTTTAAAAATATATGTCCCGTCGTTTTAATAGAACCTTAAGAAGGAGAAGAGGTGGTCATTTGTGCTCAGGCAGCCTTCTTGAACCAGCAGCCTCCCCTAGATTTTCTGTCTCAGCTGCTGGCATTGCTTTCTGTTTGGCTGACAAAGCCAGAGACCTGAGAGTCACCTGCGGCTCCTCCCTC